AAAGCATTGCAAATATTATGCCAAGTTAAATATTAATCACTTAGATGCATTAGTTACCAACTGCGATCTGCTAGATGAGATAATCGGAGGTCGAATACACCTATCTGCCAATCGGAGGTCATAACTGAACCTTTTGCTGAGCAACTAGAATGAATCGTTTATATCATAAAGATGCTTTGAATGAGACCCTTAGTTCGAATACCAATCTCGTTGATGAAATGCAAAGCCATAGATTACTCACTAAAATCGCGTAACGCACACAAACACTAGTTAGTACACATGTTTATTTACAAGAAAACCAAGGTCATATGTCTTGCTAACTTGCATCCACCATCTTACCATAAAGAGGACATTCATAATTCCTCGTTTACTTCACGTCGCTCTAAGCCTTTTCAACTGCGAACCGCCGGAGTGAATTACCCAAATTACATGACGTGGCACAGGTAGAAGGGAGAGTTTTGCATTTAATTAAGCGAAATGAGTCTGTTGTTGGTGTTGTTTTGCACTCTGACTACCCCTGTGTGTCATCCACAGCCTTGAAGAAAAGCATGGCGTGATGGAGAGGGATCACACGTTCAACTCATGCAAGTGTGCCGATAAATGAGAGTTGCGGAACTTGACAATTTCCGTAACCCTTTCTGTCAGCCCGCAGCTCGGATCAGATCCATATGCAACAAATACCCACTGGGGCACATACCAGTGGTGGTACAAAAGAGGTTAAGGGTGCGTTCGACTAAAATTTAAGCCCTGTGGCAACTTTGGTTTTGCTATGGGAACATTAGGCACAACCAGTTCAAATCGGTGAATTTTGAGCCCTTGATACATATGCATTGGCTGCGCAGATAAAATCAGTGTTCACTTGCAGTGGTACTAATGAATTTACCTTAAATGTTCGATTCGTTGTTATGGCAATGTGTGCTTGAGCGCTCATATGTGGTAAACTGAGGAGACGTGTGCTTATGTGAAGATTGGGACGAAATATTTTTCAAAACTATGTTTTTGATAGTTAAAATATGTGAGCTGTGCCTACCCAAAAACAGTCCAAGACTGACAATTATCATAATTTTAATGGGACGTATTTCGGGTAGAAAGAAAGAGCCGCAAATGTTAACCCATTGCATAAAAGTGTGTTCTACAATCGTCACTATGGTAATCAATAACCAAGATTTTGTGAACGTAGTCATAGTTTTCGAATCAAAAACGAAAAAGCAACTTATAGGATAGCATTGATGTGCCTCAAAAACACACTAAGTATGGAAAACGTCGACAGACTTGATTCAATTTAGCAGGCTGAATGATTTGGCAATGAAAATACCGTTTGGCTGAGGAAGGCCCTCGCCAGTTACTTGTCTCACTCGAGGCAATAAAAAGACGTGTTGGGAATGACGTCACAAAGAGGATAATTGTTACGGGAAGGGCCCTGGAGAATCCTGTTATCCACTACAAGTCGCAGTATTTCAGCTTTCTGATTTTCTGGTAGCTAGGATGATTTCTTTAAGACAAGAAACAGAAGGGAAAAGCATAATTGCTCCGGTCTGCTTGAAATGTTCCACTGCAATGTACAATAAAAAATCCCTGGCAGGACTTAAGGTAGTTGATTTTATCACTTAGTGACATATCAAGCTCACCCGAGACTGCACAACTAATTGAGGTTACTACGTATGCCTAATCAAGGAACTAAAACAGTGTTAAATCATAAAAAATTGATTATTAAGAAGTCAGAGCTGTTCCGATCAAATAGAAAGGCAGCATATAGACAATTGAAGTTACATCCTACCATAGGACCACACAGGTCACCAGACATAAATATTTAGGTACTTCTTAGGTTATTAAACAACCAACATCTCTACAATAACAATAATTCATTTTATGACAGTGTGAAGGCTCCACTCGACAAAACAAGGCATCAATCGATCAAAATGAACCACTAGTCAATAAACCATGCGCAAGTGCTGCAGTGTTCATGACACTCTCTGACGTGCCCGTTTTGTTCACACCTGCGATTTGTAAATATTCACAATCACACATGCACACGTGTCAACAAGCCTGATAAATGAGGCAATCTGTATCATTCCTGCTCGCCTTATTCACTTTTGGTGAATTCATGGCGTCTCGCAACACGGTTCCATGCGAGAGGGTGAGTAAGACGTGGCTGTACAAGTCGCCATGTATAGTCAGAGCGTTCTTATTGGCTGAAATGCAGACCGTTGTGACAAACGAAATGCACGTTATTTGTCAATATTGACAAAGCCGGTTC